GGAAAGCTTCAGCATAGAAAGATTTGTCAGTATGCCTAAACCATCTTAGGACAGCCTGCTTCAGTTTGTCATCAGTGCTGAAATGCTGACCTGTGAGGAACTCTTTAAGGCCACTTTCACACAAACATAATTCTTTCAGTCACGTTGTTCAAAGAAAAACAGATTCAGCTTATATCAGTTTGCACATCCTTTAGTTCAGTTCAGTTTACCTTAGTTTGCCCTTCAGTTCAATTTACATCTGTTTATATCAGTTCAGATTACATCAGTCTACTTCCATTCCATTTCAACGGATCTGGACATTGGCTGTTCAGTTAAAAAAAAAAAAAAAAAATGGACCTTAACTGACATGGATGTAGGCAGATGTAAACTGATGATCATACGTTTACATCTGCCCACCCATAGACATACAGTGGGGATCGAAAGTTTGGGCACCCCAGCTAAAAATTTGTATTAATGTGCATAAAGAAGCCAAGGAAAGATGGAAAAATCTCCAAAAGGCATCAAATTACAGATTAGACATTCTTATAATATGTCAACAAAAGTTAGATTTTATTTCCATCATTTACACTTTCAAAATAACAGAAAACAAAAAAATGGTGTCTGCAAAAGTTTGGGCACCCTGCAGAGTTAATATCTTGTACTGCCCCCTTTGGCAAGTATCACAGCTTGTAAACGCTTTTTGTAGCCAGCCAAGAGTCTTTCAATTCTTGTTTGAGGTATCTTTGCCCATTCTTCCTTACAAAAGTCTTCCAGTTCTTTGAGATTTCTGGGCTGTCTGTCACGCACTGCTCTTTTAAGGTCTATCCATAGGTTTTCAATTATGTTGAGGTCAGGAGATTGTGAAGGCCATGGCAAAACCTTCAGTTTACGCCTCTTGATGTAATCCCCCGTGGATTTCGAGGTGTGTTTAGGATCATTATCCATTTGTAGAAGCCATCCTCTCTTTAACTTCAGCTTTTTCACAGATGGCATCAAGTTACCATCCAAAATTTGCTGAAATTTTATTGAATCCATTTTTCCTTCTACTCGTGAGATGTTCCCTGTGCCACTGGCTGCAACACAACCCCAAAGCATGATTGATCCAACCCCATGCTTAACAGTTGGACAGAGGTTCTTTTCATTAAATTCTGTGCCCCTTCTTCTCCAAACGTACCTTTGCTCATTCCGGCCAAAAAGTTCAATTGTAACCTCATCGGTCCACAGAACTTGTTTCCAAAATGCATCAGGCTTGTCTATATGTTCATTTGCAAAGTTCAAACGATGATTTTTGTGGTGAGGACGTAGAAGAGGTTTTCTTCTGATGACTCTTCCATGAAGACCATATTTGTACAAGTATCTCTTTATAGTGGAATAGTGTACCACAACTCCAGTGTCTGCCAGATCTTTCTGGAGGGATCGTGCAGTCAAACGTGGGTTTTGAATTGTTTTTCTCACAATCCTGCGAGCTGTTCTGTCTGATATTTTTCTTGGTCTTCCAGATCTTGCTTTAACTTCCACTGTTCCTGATGACTGCCATTTCTTAATTACATTCCGAACAGAGGATATTGACATCTGAAAACGCTTTGCTATCTTCTTATAGCCTTCTCCAGCTTTGTGAGCGTCAACTATTTTCAGTTTCAGTTTTCTAGACAACTGCTTAGAAGAACCCATAGTGCTGATTGTTGGGGCAAGGTCAGATGAGTCTGGGCATTTACAACCTTTGAGATTGACATAACCTGGTCTTCCCAGACGATGATTGAGAACAATCCATGATACTGGCAGGTCTCAGCTTTGCAAAGGGGGCAGTGCATGCTATAAACTCTGCAGGGTGCCCAAACTTTTTGCAGAAGTGTAAATGATGGAAATAAAATCTAACTTTTGTTGACATATTATAAGAATGTCTAATCTGTAATTTGATGCCTTTTGGAGATTTTTCCATCTTTCCTTGGCTTCTTTATGCACATTAATACAAATTTTTAGCTGGGGTGCCCAAACTTTCGATCCCCACTGTATATTGTGGTTCAGTCTGGATTCGTCTGAAAAAACTGATAGAATGATCTAGACTGAATGCCCATGTGAAAGGGGCCTTAGGTTTCCAAACAGGTGGAAATAACTCAGAGCAATGTGAATAAAAAAGTTGCAAAATGTGTTTGAAAAGCTCCAAAATACGCATTAAAAAACAAAATGCGTGACAAAAAAACTGCAATAAAATGTGCGTTATAAAAACACCAAAATGCAATGGTTAGGGCAGCACAGTGGCTAAATGGTTAGCACTTCTGCCTGGCAGTACTAGGGTCGTTGGTTCAAATCCCAACCACAGCACCACCTACCTGGAGTTTACATGTTCTCCCTGTGCCTGCGTGGGTTTCCTCCCACACTCCAAAAGACATGCTGTTAGGATAATTGGATCCTGTCTAAATTTACCAACTTCAGCTACCTACTTTTTGCTTTGGGAAAAGTGGGCTGCACCTCACCAAACCACCAAGAGATACGCTATATTGGCAAAAGTATTGGGACGCCTGCCTTTACACGTACATGAACTTTAATGGCATCCCAGTCTTTGTAGGGTTCAATATTGAGTTGGCCCATCCTTTGCAGCTATAAAAGCTTCAACCCATCTGGGAAGGCTGTCCACAAGGTTTAGGAGTGTGTCTATGGGAATGTTTGACCATTCTTCCAGAAGTGCATTTGTGAGGTCAAGCACTGATATCAGACAAGAAGGCCTGACTAGCAGTCTCTGCTCTAATTCATCCCAAAGGTGTTCTATCAAGTTGAGGTCAAGATATAGAAACATAGAAAAGTGACAGCATAAAAAGACCGAGTGATCCATCAAGTCTGCCAGGTTTTTTTTTTTTGGGTGGGGGGGGGATTGTTTACTTTTTTTGTGCTCACTACCTCTGCTGGAATATTCCAGGCCTCAACTACTCTTTCAGTAAAGTAGTACTTTCTGATATTAGTTTTGAACTTTCCTCCAGTTAGCTTAAGGTCATGTCCCCGTCTTCTTTATTTTGGTTTGAAAATACCGCCCTTGTGAACCGTATTCACCCCCTTGATGTATTTAAAGGTTTCAATCATGTCTCTCCTTTCCTCCAGACTGTACATGTTAAGTTCCTGAAATCGCACTTGATATATTTTATTCCCCACACTTTTCACCATTTTTGTTACTCGTTTCTGGACTCGTTCTATTTTATCAATATTTTTTTGTAAGTGAGGTCTCTAGAACTGGACACAATATTCTAAATGAGGTTTACTTAACGATCTACTGTATATAGGGGAATCAGGACCTCCTTCCTGCTGATGATGCATCCTAGAATACTATTCACTTACCTTACTTCCTGGTCACACTGTTTGCTCATTTTGCAATCATCTGAAATAAATACCCCCAAATCCTTTTCCTCTGTAGTGCTGGCCAACACTGTACCCCCAAAGTTGTACTCTCTCAAGGAATTATTTTAGGTGCATTATTTTACATTGAGAAACATTGAACTGCAATTTCGACTTTTTTGAACAATCTTCCAGCAATGCCAAATCATGTTCCATGTTACAGACACATCCATGGATATCAACCCTATTGCACACCTTTGTGTCATCAGCAAAAAGACATACCTTACCCAACAAACCTTTGGATATATCACTTACAGTGGATATAAAAAGTCTGCACACTCCTGTTAAAATGGCAGGTTTCTGTGGTGTAAAAAAATTAGACAAAGAAATAGTTTCAGAACTTTTGCTACCTTTAATGTGACCTATAACCTGTACAACACAATTGAAAAACTAACTACCATATTTTAGGGAAGGGGAGTTGCTATTGTTCCCAGTTGCTTCCACTTCGCTATAATACCATCAACAGTTGACCGTGGAATATTTGGTAGCAAGGAAATTTCAGATGGTCTCATTACACAGGTGGCAACCTATCTCGGTACCACGCTTTGAATTCACTGAGCTCCTGGGAGTGACCGATTCTTTCACAAATGTTTGTAGAAGCAGTCTGCATGCTTAGGTGCTTTATTTTATACAGCTGTAGACATGGAGGTGATTGGAACACCTGAATCCAATTATTTGGAGGGGTGTCCCAATACTTTTAGCAATATAGTGTATGTTTACATGAATGGTACCATATGTAAGCTTCCCATCTCTGCATTAATAAGTACTTGAGTCATACCCATGTTCATTATTATTATTACCTGCGTGCCACTACCTCTGTACCGCTATAAGGCTCTTCTCTGACATGAGGAACTTTTAAAAAGGTGTGTGTGATGCTGTTCACATACAAAGCAACTTCCTTTGGATTTATTAATTATTTAATTATCCATAATGCAGGACATCTTATCACAGAGCATCCTACTAGTCAAAATGTAAGAAATGGTCACAATATCATACTTTCTTAATATTAATTCATAACAAAATGCCAAATAACTTTTATTTTACTTGCTTGTCACTACTACATATAGAACACAAAAAAATCATTTGGTAAAAAAGGAATCCCACTGATGACGATACCAGTGTTTGTGTAGTAACATTAACAAAATTGGCTTTCACATAACAGATTAAATAGGTTATGTACACAGTTAATGGATGCCAGCCCAACAACACAGGTAAGTTTCTTCAGCCAGCTGAGATATGTTTTTTTGGAAGGAAACAAAATATATATATAAAAAAGGAGCTTAAAAATTACTGCATACTCTTATTTACTAGTAGATCCTGTGACATTTTATACCATGTTCAATTATAGACTTTCATTTCGTGCAAGACATACCTCTGTAAATTATGTACAGAAGTTATATATAACCCTCAGCATTGAAATCCTATAAAAAGGACATATAGTAAGAAATAGGATTTCAAAATGCCAAATATTGACATATGAGATGATGATGTACTGAGATAGCATTCTTTTGAATACTCCAGCGACTGTCCAATCCAATTAGCAAATGAACTGTTGCAAATATGAAATGATGTGCAGGTCTTCAGTGTAATAAAAAAAAACTGTAAATTTAGATGTTTAAAGTTTTTTTTCCCCCATTTTATTTATGTCTGCTTCCTCTTCTTTTCATGGCAGCTGTGCACTGTGGACAATACCACTTCCCTTTGGGAGCTTCTGATAATCCTACACATCCATAATGAAACCATTCAATGGGGCACTGAAAAATAAAAACAAAAGCAAGATTATTCAATCAAAATATTACACATAACTCTAGCAAAGATATCAGATTTAATGCTAGGTACACACGACCATAAATTGACCAAAGTTTTTTTTTTTCCCATATAAAACCCCACAAAGGATGCAACCAGTATATGCAGCAATCTGGGGGGGGGGGGAGGCAATCAAAAAAGAAAGAGATATACCCCAATCATTTAAACAAACTGCACAATAGGAAATGCCTAAGAAACCACACAGCTGTCAGGAACACTGACACTTGTATCAGGTTGTTTATGGCCAGCTTCATTCTAATTCCACTAGTCTTTTCTCACCATTTTATTACATTTCACAAATATATTTGGAGTACTTACATCTTGGTTATCGCAGCCTACCATCTCACCATAAGAGACCTAAAATAGAAAAGCTATAATGTGGTAAATGTTTAAAAAAAAAACACTTTCACTAGTAGACACACCATGGAAATAAATTATTTAAACCGCTCAGAGGGACATTTACCAACCAAATTAGCAAAAAAATTAGATACAAAGAATATACAAGTTTTTAGGTGCATATGTGAGCCCTGCAATCCTGGGCAGCTAGCAGTTTTGCAAACGTCTGTAACAGATTTAGCACTGTAGATGAGACAGATTTACAATGAAAAAATACGCGCAACTAAGAGGTGGCCACAGGCAGGTTTTATATTGTTGCAGTACTACTTTAGAGCAGAAGAAGAGAAAGGCAGGGGGGATTTCTGAATTAAGCTGCAAGATTCACATAGTAATTCTGTCTTCTAATTTGTCCCAAAGCTTATTGTTACTACCTTATATAGCAATTATCTGATTTCTATTTATCATTCACCAAATGTGGTTTGTTGTAAGGAAGTACTAAAAATAACCAAAGCAAGATTTTCAATGACTTTTTGCTATGTAACTATAATATAGTAAAAGATAGTAGAAGTAGTTACAATCAAAAATAATGCCATGTCCTTGCAAGTTAGGACCTTTCACGCATGCAGACTGTTCATTTCATCCATTTTTCGTCCGTTCTGATTTTTTAAAAGGAACAAAAATAGGGCTCTGGACAATTTTTAAAAACGGGTGTAAACGGATGATCATTCGTTTACATCCGTTTCTCCATTTAGATGTATTGATGTCCACTTTTCATCGGTCAACGAATGTATGAAAAAAGGACAAACATGTGAAAGTGGCCTAAGTGAAAACAATAAGACAATTAGACAAACCACCAGTGCACCAACTAGTAATATGTAGGCTACATTTCTTCTGAGCAGAACATTCCTGTAAGACACTCCACTACTATGTAAAACTCATGAGTCAGCAACCAGCCTCACCTGATTACAGATGCAATAACGGGGTTCATTGGGATCATATGTCCAGTCAACTTGGTTATTCGAATCTGACTCTGGAATAGCTGCTGTTTGTTGATGTGACAGCTCATGTGCTAGAGCTGATGATGACGAGCAAGAGGATAATGATGAGGAAGAAGATGACGAGGAAGATTGTTGGCTTGAAGATTTATTATTGCTTCTAAAAAGCAAAATCAAAAGTACAATAGAATAACGTTAAAATATAGTCAGAGAAAGGGACAAAGTGATGGTTCACCAGAAATAAAAAAAACAAAGATTTCTATGTGATGTCAAACGATATAATGGGGTAAAGAAGCAACATACACTTTGTAAGCATGTTAAAAGACAACTAGTAAACAATAATAAAGCACTTCAATCAAAATGGTCAAACACTGCATGTATACTAGGCTTTACATTTTCTTTGTGAAGCATACAGAAATTGCCTCAAGCCTTACCTAGAAAAAGTTCATTTAACCGCTTCCCCACCGCTCTATAGCAGATATACTGCTACAGGGCGGCAGGGGTGCACAAAATCACGTATATCTACCCGCACCGGTATTCGCGGGCGCAGCTGTCAATCTTCGGATCCCGGCCGGTAATTACCCACCAGCGCCCGGTGATTACCAAGCATTTCCGACGGGGAGAAAGACTGTTTTGTTTCCTAACAGTCTTCCTCCCTGTCGGCTTGGGCACACTGTTCTGGATGGCTGTGCACAGCACAGAGCAGTGTGCTTACAGTGAAGCACACACCCCCTGCCCCTAGTAAAACACTCCCTACACATAGTCAACCCTTTGATCGCCCCTCACATTAACCCCTTCCTACTCAGTGCCATTAGTACAGTGTCAGTGCTTTTTATTAGCACTGATCACTGTATTGGTGTCACTGCAGATGTCAGTGACACCAAGTCAGTTCCCCCCAGTGTCAGAATGTCTGCCGCTATCCCGCTACAAGTCGCTGATTGCTAGTAGAAAAAAAAAAATCCCAGTATCTATACTGCCATTTGTAAATGCTATAAGTTTAACATAAACCAATTAATTTACACGTATTGGGATTTTTTTGTTTTAGCAAAGACATGTCACAGAATACATTTTGGCATAAATTTATGATGACATTTTATTTTTTTTATTATTTTACTGGACATGTTTAATAGCAAAAAGTTCAAAATATAGTTTTTTTTTCACAAAATTTCCAGTCTTTATTATAGCACAAAATAAAAAAAAAAAAACGCACAGGCGTTCAAATACCACTAAAAGAAAGCTCTATTTATTGGGAAAAAAGGGCGCAAATTTCATTAGGGTGTAGCGTTGCATGACTGTGCAATTGTCAGTTAAAGTAACGCAGCGCCGTAAAGCAAAAAATGGCCTCGTCAGGAAGGGGGGTAAATCCTCAGGAGGATAAGTGGTTAAAGAGATTCTAGGTGGTTTTGTTTTTTTAAATAACAAACATGTCTTACTTACCTGCTCTGTGCAATGGTTTTGCATAGAGCAGCCCCTATCCTCCTCTTCTCGGGTTCCCCCGCCAGTGCTCCTGGTCACTCCCCCCTGCTGAGTGTACCCGTAATAGCAAGCCTCTGGATCTGAGGGCACTTGAGCAGTCTCACTCCCGAGCCGCACTCCTATGAATGGACATTGTTCATTCACACACAGAGCGCAGCTCAGCTTCTCTGCTCTTCTCATTGGCTCCCTGGCTGTGATTGACAGCAGCTGGAGCCAATGGCTCCCGCTACTGTATGAGCAATTGAGAAAGCAGGGACCCAGGAGAGCCGCTGCTCTAATGCACATCTCTGGATCGAGATGGGGCTAAGGTATGTAACAGGGCTGAGGCGACAACTGCACCCAGAAGGTTTTTTACCTTACTGTATAGAGTGCATTACGGTAAAATACCTTCTGTTTTTAGATCCACTTTAAGTGTAACAAATAAAAACAAAATCAATGCTGATAAAAAATAAGGGTTTGTTAAAACACTCTGTATGTCACTGCATGCACAGCTCAGTGCAGTTTGGCATGCCTTTGGGGGTCAGCATAAATTAACTTCTTTACGCATATGTGGGGCTTTCGTTACACCAACCTGAGCAATCTTGATGGCTAAAGATGCTAAACCTAGAAAAAGACTGGGCGAAGGACTCAGAGGCAGCAATGTAGTGACAAGGAAGATTAGAGCCATCGCCTCTTCTGGGGGGGAGCGGAATTGAGTTTAGTTCCACTTTTAACTTAGCATGCCTAAACTTTACTCACTTGTTTTTCCGCCCACTTCTCGAGTCTGTGGTTGCTGAAGATGTCAAGGTCTGTGTTAGTGTAGAAGCCAAGGCTGAAGAGGAATAACTTGTAGAGTCTCTAGACAAGAACTCTCTCCCAAGTTGAAAGTCGTTATTTTTAAAGGCCTCGTAACTGGCTTTCATACTGGATGTTCTCCTTCCTTCTTTCATCTGTGCAGTTGGTAGAAGCAGAATATTTATTATATGCTTAAGGTAGTAATTTGGTATTCTTTGATACACCAAGTGCCAAGAACAATATATATATGTAGAAAACATGAAAATTTATGTTGTACCTGTGCAGTGGCTTGAACTGCTTGAGCAGCAGCCATGGTAATGGCTCCAGCTCCAGCCCCTGTAGCAGCTCCACTTGAAAGAGAACTCAAGTTATAGGACGCCAGTGGCTGGGTGGAATTCACATTGTAAACGTTAGTAGTAGTGGAGGCCAAAGTATTTCTACACCCTAGGGGGAAAAAAAAAAGAAAGAAAACAACATAACTATGTAAGCCCATAAAAGCGCATCATGCAGAAACTAACATCATTTCAAAAGTGATCAGCTAGAGCAAGCAAAGGGTGAAGCTCATTAGCAAGTATATAATGTGCATGTAAATGGACCATGTAACAGATCAGTAAGTTTACTGTTTCTTTAACGCTTTAGTACAAAAATAAGTATAAAATCATAACAAAGTGCATCGCACTATCCTTCTCTAGGCTCTGTTCGCACAGGGGCGTAGATAAGAGGGGGGGGGGGGGGCAGGGGACTCTGAACCCCCCTCTCCTGAGCAGTTACTATTTTATAGGAAGAGACTGTCTAAAAAAAAAATAATAAAAAAATAAAAAAACAGGGCACTTTGCTCCTGTCCATAGTACAGGAAAAAGCTCCTCAGAGTACTGGCAGTCTGTCATACTGCTGCGGTTTCTTCCTCCTTCTCCCTGCAGGCTGCTCAGCGGAACATCTCTCCTCTACTTGCAATAAAATCTGCCTGCTAATGTCTGGCAAGGCAGGATCTAGGTGGTGCTGGGGTGGGGTTTGGTGCCCCCCCCCTCCTGCTATGATGGATGTTGTGCTTAGACAGGGTTGCTAATCGTTCATCAGGAAGAAGCTGTTTCTTAAACATAGAAATGGGCTAGCTGCAGCTGTGAAGTCTGAGTGTCTGTGATACTCTCACATGGCCCAGCCAGCACACTCCCCCACCAGCATGGACAGGAGAACAGATTGAAAGATCAATCCATTCCGACTCCACCACCCTTTATCTGTGTCTGGCCTGCCCACACTGCTATCCTCCATGTGCATCCTGTGCCCCAGAAAGGGGATGTGTGGGTGGACGTTTGGAAGTACAGCAGTCATCAGATCCATTGTGGCTGCATGACTGATGCTTCTGCCTAAGCCTGCAGATGACAGCCTGGGGTGAATGAGCAATTCACTGAAATCTTCCCTTCTCTCCCAAACCACCCCCATTCTTCCAGGAGCTTCACACACGCTTGCCCAGCCGATTTCACGTCCAGTTAGGGACAACTGGATTCTGACACAAGGGGGCACTCTGCCACATTCTGACGCAAGATGGGACTCTGCAGACTCTGATGTAAGGGGTGGAACTCTGGGAACACAAATGTAAAGGGGGGAAAGCTGGAGACTTTGATGTAAGGGAAGACTCTGATGTGAATGTGGTGCTCATTGTGACTACTGCACTCCATATGTTTTGTTTTTTTACTTACTCCAAAACCCTGCACGCTGTACATTATGCTGTACATAGACCTGAAAAGGTATTGTCTCAAGAGTTGCCTATATGTGAATGGAGCCTGTTATTCCACCTTCTGTCCATGCTGCTACTTATGATCTCCAAACAGGAAACCTAATCCTGTTTAACACATACCAAGTATCACTGCTTCAGACATCACTGTTCTAATACATAAGAGAACTGGAAAAGTGTGCCTATTCTAGTAATGTGATTGCCATCACCATTAACTAATAACTGGTGATCTAACTGTCGTAGGAGATTCCAGGCACAACTCAACAATTCCTTTGTTCAAATGACAGCATAGACAGTATATAGTGTTGTGCTATCCTTCTCTTTTTACTACATACAGATATATACAGTTAAATTTGCTAAATATAGTGCAGTCAAATCCCATTCTATGTCCTCAAACAAAAAAAAAAAACAAAAAATAGTGTTTAAAAGCTCATTTAAAAACAAAACAAAACAAAAAAAAATCAGCAGCATTTTGGACTAAACAGTAAACTACACTGTCAAAACCAACAGAGTGATTTTATGGAGTATAAGGGTCACTAAACGAGTGACTGATAAAAGAGGAATGTGCCCTGTCCTACATGTCTGTCCCTGCACACCAGCGTTTGTAGGTACGACAGAAAACTTGCCTGGAGTATTTTCTTTAGATGCATCAGAAGTAAGTGTTGATAACAACGCCTCAGACTTGAATTTTTTCTCTGGTACATGGTCTGTAGTAGAATGATGGGATGATGGATTGTGCTTCCTTTCTGTAGACATAAGCATTTGCGTTTAATGGCTGCTGCAGTTTAGAAATGCCATAACACAGCACTCATTGTACTTACTCTCTCCTGAAGAATGAGAATGAGCATGGTGGTTATTCACAGGCTGAGATGGCGTGTCTAGTTCTAACGACCCTGAAAGAGTATTTAAATAATTAAAAAAAAAAAAAAAAAAAAAAAAACAACAAAAACCTACACCAGCCTCTTTAAAAGGAACATGTTGAAGACAAGAACCTTGCAAAAGAGGCTGGCTTAAAGATATATCTTTTAGAGAAGCATCTTCCCACTCATACCCAGAACTACAGATGTTATGCACACATCTTATCTTGATGATCATGCATGTTTATATACCTACCTTCCCCTTGTAGCAGCAGCAGCTTAACTGCGCATGTTTGGCTTTTGAACCAGGGAGAAGGCATTCATACAGCTACTTCCCAGGATATACATTATTTATAGATAATGTTCTCCTTTGGCTTTGAATTGAAAGTGTTTCTGAAGTCAGATTTTTTTTTACTTTATGTCATTCCCCGCAGTAAGGTAAAAAATGTTTTACCACGTTTTTCCCTCCACTAAACACTCCTGAGTGTTCTCTCAATCCAGTGCTGTGACCAGATGCATCTTTTCTCTCATCACCCCTGCTAAGCACACCTGCACAAGTGGCTTGCTGAGGGGGCACTCAGAGGGGAGAGGAGCCAAAATTGCTGGCAGGGGATGCCAGAAGAGGGGGATCGGGGCTGCTCTGTGCAATCCTATTGCACAGAGCAGGCATGTATAACATGGCTATTATTTTATTATATTTATATTTTTATAAAAAAATAGACTTCCTGTACCTAAAACTCAACATACTGTTTGAGACAAGGATGCTACTTAGACAGAATAGATAAAATGATGCCAAAATAAAACACGAGGAGGAATCTACATCTAAAACAGAACAATATTGCTTCTGCAAGATAGGATAGGTGGGCATAACCTTAAACTGTAAGGAAAGGCAGACTGGAATTACTGTATACCTCGCAATTTACTCTGTAACCCAAGTCATGTGTGGGCACTAAAAGAAAGAGCAAGAGGAGAATGACTGATTGTTTGTCACCCAACAGCGTAAAAGGAGAAATGTGCATCACACAGGCAATCAATGCCATGGACAATCATTTCTCACAAGCATTCATGTACTGGAAGGTCAGAGGGAGAACCGTTCCCATTTTCCATAGCAACCAGAGTATCTTTTTCTTATCCAATACTGCAATGGCACCAGAGGCAAATATGATCAGTTGATTTAGGCAACAAGATCTGTTCTTTCATAGGGCTCATTTATGAAGCCCACAATGCCATGTACTGGAAACAGGGATGCGTAATTTGCATCGCCTGTAGTTCCCGGCACTGGGCTGGTATTTATTTTGTTTATCAAGTGGATTGCTTCCACACATGCCGAGAAAGTGCCATGCACCGCTTGCCTCCCCTTCTTGTTCCTGAACCAGAAAGCGACATGTATTATGGCACTTCCGGGTCCCCACTGACATTGTCCCCGGCCAGTGAGGCTGGGAATGAATGTAATAGAGGACCACAGGGAAGACATGCAGGGTCTTTTAGACCCTGGATGTTTCATTAAAGGGAATCTGTCACAAAATATTCATCACATTGGGGACATTTTGTGATCTGCTGAGAGCCTGAGCCACCTGCTCCCTCCCCCTCCACAGCCCAGCGCTCCAGTGAACGCAGGGGGGTAGAGCAGACAGCGGTGACTGATAGTCACCACTCTCTGCTCAGAGCGGCTGTGAGAACTCAGCGATCATGTGATCGCTGAGTTCTCCCACTTAGAGCTGGCAGGGAAGAGATGCTGCATCCATCTAGGCAAGTATAAATGGGAAAAAAAACTCTCTTTTAAGTAAAAATATATTTTTTTATGGTACAAAAAACAAAAAAAAAAGTTACATCCAAGCACATAGAATCCCCCCACACAGACACATGTACAAATGCACATGTCGGGGCTCCTATGCAATGAAAATGCAATTGTAATAGACGTTTCAAATCGTCATGCACATGGGAATGAGAGCAATATTTTGAGCATATATTTATAACTGGATACTATCATTTATAGGTAAAGTTGATCCAGGGAATATCTGATTGCCTCTCGGGGGATCAGGAAGGAATTTCTTTCCCTGCAGGAGCAACTTGGATCGTGCTTTGCTGGGGGTTTTTTTATACCTTCCTCTGGATCAACTGTGGGTATAGGATTATAACTTTTTTTTTCTATGGTGGAACTGGATGGACTTTTGTCTTTTTTCAGCCAGACTAACTATGTAACTATGTAGCACCAACCTCCTCCATAACGCTAAACTGATGACCTATAGGGGGCCTTTAAAGTGTCGCCTATAGAAAATATAGGGTACTGAAGTTTATAGCCATTTCACAGGTGCATACAAATTTAAGGTTTGACATGTTGGGCATCTAATTATTCGGTGCAACCTTATCTTTTTTATTTTACCAAAAAATTGAGTAATTTTATTGCGTTCTCGTGCCCTAATGTTTTTTACTGAAGTTTTGCGTTTCCGAGAACTTTGCGGTCATATCGTGTGGCATAAAATATTGGAACTACTACTATTTTCTTTTCTAGGGTGCCTGCCCGCTTTCCAAAAATATGTTTTGAGGGTTTTATGTAGTCATCAGGCCTAAAGTGATTTTTTAAACATGTGCGTTTGTGTGATTATTTAATGGAGGGGACACCGGAGGCTGATTTGGCTGTTCAGCATGTGCTTGTACTGAGCACCCAAGTGTTTCCGTGTGCGAGAGTAACCTGAGGAATAACGTATTTTTTTTCTCATTGTGGCCCGTGCCTCACTTACTCGTGCAACAGACACGCTTCTGCTGAGCAAGGGAAGCAAGCATGAGATAAACGGCACAATGTTAAAAGTATTAAAAGTTTAAGTCACCATAAAGCTCCTTTTATTTTTAAAAGCCCTAGACATTCCTAAAAGCACTTCAGATTTAAATATGGTTTTGGTTAAAACATTTTTATCAGGACAAGTAGATTGGGACCCCGATTTAGTCCTTGGACAAGTAATTTAAAAAAAATTTCCACTCCCCTGTGAAAATTGACAAAAAAGTATTTTAAGTAATATTTTAATGAATGAAAATGTGCACCCACTTCTTTCCAATATTTCAGTAATGCCAGCATTATCAGCCTCCAGTTCCATCTTAAATTTTGCCAGTTCTTGGTCAAGTTTTCTCAAATGACGGTCTACCTATTAAACATTACAAACAGCAAATTTACATTTTTCAAATTACTTATACATATAGGGGGAGATTTACTAAAAGTGGAGCGCGCAAAATCTGGTGCAGATGTGCACTGTAACAAATCAGCTTCCAGGTTTTTATTGTCGAAGCCTAATTGAACAAACTAAAGTTATAAGCTGATTGGGTACTATGCGCAGCTGCACCAGTTTTAGTAAATCCCACCCATTCAGTTCGGTATAAAATACAATTAGATGTCTGAACTTTACCAGAATCTGCAGATTTTCACTTCTATTGACTTTTAGGCAAGATCAAGGTTTCTTTTAATGCATTCAAAAATGGAAATAATAGTATCCAAAAAAACCCAAACATACACACAGATGAAAATATATCAACTCAGTATGAAAACAAATGAGAAAGCATTCTACCATGCAAGCCAAGGACAGGTAGCAACTGGTTTGCTCCTCAAACTGACAGACATAATTTTACAAAAAATGCAAGCTTAATTGTTGCATAAATCAAAAGCTTTGTTTGGTAATTAGTTTTGATTTAAAATTAGCATTATGAGGATTCACTACTTTGTTTTCAATCAAAACACAAAAATGTAAGAAAAACTGAACTACAATTTCTGCTTACCAAATCATAAATTTGATTTGCTAGCTGCACTTTCTCATCTGCATCTTCCAAGGCTTTAAAATAATCCTGTAATTAATGAATAATTTAGATAGAGTCAAATGGCAATTACATAGTAGCAAGTTCAGAGGTACTTGTATGTATACTTTGTTTTATGTTTAACCATTAAGCACAATAATGCACCGGAAGAAAATCTGTACATTCCCACCACGCTGCATGTAGGTGGAGCAAGATCTTGTGACCTGATCTGTGCATAAGCGGATCCATCGTCGAAAAATTTACAATTTACATTATTCAGTAAAAAAATGCCTGTTTCTTGCAAGAAATAAAAATATGCCCCCTGAGTGACCTAAAGGCTGAGGCAGTCTCGGTCACAGTCGCATGCAGGCCATAGATGATGAAAATTGCTTGATTTGCTTGACTGTGTTGATAGGGGAACCCCTCCCATGAAGCTATTTTGTTCTCATGACGGGGAGGAGGGGGGAGGGGGAGCCATCCCTGCCAGAAAAACGCAGTTATTTACCTGTTAACTGTATTTCCAGGAATCTTCTAGGACAGCTCACTTGAGAGATAGGCTCCTCCCAGGAAACACCCGCTCCACCTTTTTCCTCTATAAGTAGCCTCTCTCCCAGGGGACCCTCAGTATAAGAATATGACCGAAGGCCTAGGAGAAAGCATAAAAATGGTAGTAGAGAAACAATGACGATTTCAAGCATGACGAAACCCTAGTACATAATCACACAGCAATCGGGAGGGAGTTACGCTGTCCTAGAAGATTCCTGGAAATACAGTTAACAGGTAAATAACTGCGTTTTCCCGAGTCATCTTCTAGGACAGCTCACTTGAGAGGAGTAGAATAGAAATACATGCTCTAGGGTGGGCCCTTTGTTCGTAGGACCTTCCTGCCGAACACCTGGTCCTTGCTGCCGATTAGGTCAAATCTGGAGTGTCTAGCGAAGGTGGCGAAACTGGACCATGTTGCGGCATTGCAGATCTGTCCAGGGGAGGCCCCCGCCTTTTCCGCCCAGGTGGCTGCGGTGGCCCTGGTCGAATGCGCCTTTAGGCTGGCCGGTGGTGACAGACGCAGCTCTATAACCTTCAGAAATGGCCTCTCCTACCCATCTTGTGATGGTGCCTTTGGAGGCACTGTCCCCCTTCCTTGGATCATCAATTCTGCTGTAGTCTCCCTCCAGGGATGGTATTATTTCTTCCTGCGACTTATGAGAATGTGACGCAACCTTAGGTAGAAACGCCGGATCCGTGCGGAGGATGGTTCTGTCCCGCAGGCTAGTGCAGTATGGTTCTATTACCAACAGATCTTGCAGTTCGCTGACTCTGCGGGCAGACGTAATTGCTACAAGCAGGATGGTTTTAGGAGTCAAAAAGTCTAAAGGAGCACACCTCCAAAGGCTCAAAAAGGTTCTTGCTGAAAAAAAACTCGTCAGAACTGTGCCCAGGTCCCATGTAGGGTGCTTCGGCATGGGCAGGACTCGGCGCCTAGAGATAGCTCTCAGGGACCTGATTACTAATGGGTCTGCCGCCAATCCTAATTCCAGAAAGTTTGATAGTGCTGCTACCTGCACCTTAAGGGAATTTGCAGCCAGGTTCTTATCTACCCCGGCTTGGAGGAATTCCCATGCTGTATGTAAGATGGGAGCCCCTGGCGACCCATTCCTATCTTTCCAGGCGGAGAACTTCTTCCAAGTTAATCATATACGGTGTTTGTCGATTTCTTCCTTCTGTCTAAGATGGTGGCGACCACTTTCTCTGACAGGCCTTTCCTGGCTAGCCTGTCCCACTCAGAAGCCACGCTGCTAGGGAGAGTTCTCCTGGGTGAGGGTGTAGCACCTCCCCTTGCCCCCCGTAAATCGTGTGAGGGCGGTATCATCCATGGGTCCGTTGAGCTTACTTCCTTCAGCTGGGCAAACCATGGCCCTTTGGGCCAAAACGGTACAATCAGGATGACTTTGGCTTGGGATGACTGAATCTTCTGCATCACTTCCGGCAACAGTCTGAACGGAGGAAACCCATAGAGAAGGTCTCCCTCCCAATGCGGGGCTAATGCATCTCTCCCTGCACTCCTGGGGTCCTTCTGCAGGCTGCAGTACCTCCCCAGTTTTGTATTTTGGCTGTTGGTGAAGAGATCCGCGGAGGGAGTGCCCCATCTGGCGCAGGTTTGATTGAATGCTGTACGGCTGAGGCACCACTCTGTCTGAGTGACCTCTCTCCGGCTCATTTGGTCCGCCAACTGTTTGAGATATCCTTTCAGATGCGCTGCTATGATGGACTCTAGGTTTGTCTCTGCCCAGCTCAGGAGGGTTTCTGCCAGATCCATCAGTCTCGGGGCCCTCGTGCCCCCCCTATCTGTTTAAGTACGTGACAACCGTTGTGTTGTCGGATAAGATCTGAACTTCCTTCCCCTCTCGTACCCTGGAAAGCCAACAATTCCTTGTAGTTTGATGATCTGTCCAAGATTTTCGCGTCCCACCTGCCCTGGGCCAGGCGGTCTTCCATGTGAGCACCCCACTCAGACATACTCACATCTGTGGTGATTCTTTCCGGGCTGACCTGCAGCCATTTTCTCCCAGCCTCTAAGGTGTGGATGTTCTCCCCCCCCCCCCCCTTTAGCGAATTCCTCATGCGTGTGAGGCGGATCCTGGAATCTAAGGCTGCTTGGCTGCCATCCCAGTGGGAGAGGACATGGTCCTGCAGTATTCTGGAGTGAAACTGTGCCAATTGCACTCCGGGTATGGCAGCTGTCATGCGCCCCCACTAACCTCATTGCAGCACTGGCATACTAGGGCCAATTAACCTACCAGCATGTCTTCGGAGTGTGGGAGGAAACCCACGCAGTCACAGGGAGAACATGCAAACTCCAGGCAGGTGGTGCTGTGGCTGGGATTTGAACCAACGACCCGAGTACTGTCAGGCGGAAGTGCTAACCATTTAGCCACTGTGCTGCCCATCCGTGCAGGTCGCCATCCCCCGTTAGGTATAAGCAGGTATTCTTGGAATCCAGGGCATACCTCAGATACGTGATCCTTCTGGGAGGTATTAGCTGGGATATTCCCCCCCTATTGATTAGCCATCCCAAGTACTCTGGGAAGGAATTTGTGCACCGTACGTGGGATTCCACACCCCTCTCTGTATTTGCAAATAAAAGTAGCGGTTCTGCTCGGACATTGGTGAATATCCTTGGAGCTGATGACAGACCGGAGGGGAGTGCATGAAAATGGGAGTACCCAGAGGAAACCCCTGCAAGCGCGGGCGAACACTCAAACTCCATGCAGGGGGCGCCACGGTCGGGGACCGAACCCACAACCCATACACCGCAAGGCAGACGCGCCAACCACTATGGCTCAGGAGAGACCAGAACTCCTGGACTCAAACAGTCTGAGAGTCTCTGCCACCAAAGGGGCTGGGATTACAGATGCACGCCCCTGCATGCTGCCTCCGTTGAACTGAAATAGAATTGTTGCCCCTGCGCCTTCCAGCGCAACCCTGAGAAACTTCTCTGATTCCTCCCTTATCGGGACATGCAGATATGTGTCCTTCAAATCCATCTAAGCCACAAATACGCCCTGGTGGCAGTAGTTCTGTTCACTGTGTGTATGGTCTCCTTGCAAAACTTTTTTTTTTTTTTTTTTTTTTTTTGTTTTTGGTCCCACGAACTCGTTCCCCTTTTTCAGGTTGAGTATCATTCCGCAGGTTCCCAACGCCTTCCTTCTAAGGAAGAAATGGGAGTAGAAAACCACTCCCCCTCTCTTCCTCCTCCAGCTGGCAAATTACATTCTGCCCGAGCATCCCATCCAGGTCTACTAACATGTCCGCTTTTCCCCTGTCCTTTGGCAGGGGTGTTGCGAAGAACCTTTAAGGGGGGGGGGGGGGGGGGGGGGGGGGGGGGGGGTCTTGAGAACTCTATTCTGTAGCCATTCGGAATGCATCTAAGATAAAGTGTTCCGAGTGATTTTTAGCCACTGTATGTGGAAGTGTCCCAGCCTTCCTCCCACTTGGCTCCTCCGGTCACTTGGACCGGTTCCTGGATCTATTCTGGTTGGGGTTGAAGAGGAAGTCTTCCATTCCCCTTGACTAATCCTTGATCCCCAGCCTGTGCCTAGTCTCCTTTTGTCGTATTTAGAGGCAAGATCCCCCTGCCAAGATTCTAACCAGATAGCTCTTCTGGCAGAATTTACAAGCGCAGTAGACTTTTGCTTGTAAATCAAATAGCTTCCATCGATGCGTCTGCAGTGAAAGCCACAGTTTCCCCTAAGACCGGCAGCGACTCCTGGATCTCTCCCGCCGAGGCGCCTTGTTCTAGAAAGAGGAGCATTTGGCCTTGGGCAAGTTAAGAGTAGATTTTGTGCCTGAGCCTGGGTTTGAACCTGGGCCTTTTTGCAGTGATAGACTAAGTTGCTTCTCTCTGAGCCACACGGAATGCTGTCCCCACGGTGCAGCATCTTCTTCCTTGAATGGGAATCCCCACTTGAGGTATTTGGGAAAGAGCCTCCTTTTCCGGCTCTTCCCATTCCCTTCTGATGGAGGACCATAAAGTAGAATACGCATGGACTGCGTGGCCGCTCTTCCCTTTTTTTTTTTTTTTTTTTTTTTTTTTTTTTAAGACCTGCATACAGCTGGTCATGGAGGGAGAGATCCGGTTGTTCCTCCTCCAGGTCATCTCCCTGAGGTGCCTGGTTGGGGCTTTGTCCTGGGCGGGACCCGGACTCTTAGAAATCAATGCATGTACAGGGAGAGCATGCAAACCATGCAAAGCATGCAGGAGGTGTCATAGTCGGGAATCAAACCCACAACCCATTCACTGCAAGGCAGACATGCTAACCACCAAGCCTCTGTGCCACCCCCCTGTGGGCCCACCTGGGGATGAGGAACATAGGGCGCCCATCCGCCGTGCAGCCCCCTTGGGGCCCCTACGTGGCCCCCCAGCACCCAGAAAGCCCCTAGGTAGTGTAGGGAAGAAGGGCAGGGGGGAATGAGAGGGCGGGCGGGGTGGTTGTGGCAGCCAAAAAGGCCCTTACCTGCTGCAGGCCTCCCCCAGCCTTGACAGATCTGCCTCCATCCTTGCCGCGAACTCCCCCTTGGTGCGGCTGTTTTGCAGGGCTTAGCGGGCTCCGCCCTCTCCCTGGGGTCCTCATGCGCCGGCCTCCCTCTCACGGCCGCCGGTGGAAGAAGCGGCCGTGGTGTGGGCGAGTTCTACGGCCCGCCGCCCATAGCCCACATGGCGGCAGCGCCGCTTCCTGTTCCTGCGCCGGAAGTGACGTCACTTCCCGGCGCCCGGAAATGACGCGACTCCGGCGTCCTCCCGACCACCGTCCATGCTGCAGAGATCCCGGAAAAGGTAAGCTCACCTCAGCCCAAGGGAAAGGCAATCCTGCCCAGGTCGGCGTAGCGGGCTCTGCCCCCCTGGAGAGCCCCGCTAGGACCATTTGGGGTCTGTCACCCCCATCCCAGAGGGGTTTACACGAAGGGGACCTGACTGAAGCCCCCTCACAAGGCCCCTGCCTTGCTTAGAAAAGGAGGAAAGGGGGGCCTCAGCCAGGGGGCCTCTGTACCTCGCCAGGTGGCCCTAGAAAAATAACAAAACGGGCGTAGCTCACTCCTGGCCTGAGGAAACACTAATACTGAGGGTCCCCTGGGAGAGAGGCTACTTATAGAGGAAAAAGGTGGAGCGGGTGTTTCCTGGGAGGAGCCTATCTCTCAAGTGAGCTGTCCTAGAAGATGACTCGGGAAAACACATTGAATATTGCTAGTGGCTATAGCTGTTGGCAATAATTGCATGCTAGAAATCTGACAGGCTGGTTGTAACCAAGTCAATTGATGGATCGAATTGGTTACAATCAGATGTCCCTGCTGAATTGGCCGAGATTCAGATTATCTATGGCCGGATTCAAACTAACAATGAGTACTGCATAAGTTTTACAAAGACTGTAGATAGTCTATTGTTTTCAGTCAGAAAGACTCTAGTAGGTGCTCAGTGAGAAAGTTTTAACAGGGCTCAACCAAGAAGCTACTTACAAATTTACTGAGCAAATAAGGCTGCCCTCACACACACACACAGGAGAAGCTATGCATATAAAGATTTGAATACACAAACACTGAAAATCTCTTTCACATGCAAATAAAAAAATACAAAGACTATAGTTATTCTTTAAATAGTAAATGATGACCTCAATAAATACAAGTTCCAAGGCACCCAAAAAGCAGTGTCATTAAGTACAGGGGTTAGACAAAAAAAACATAGAAACACTATGGAAATCCCATGAAGACTGAGATTGAGCACTGCAGTCACTTTTGCAGCAGTTTTCATATTCCAGGTCATAATCCTGCCCTTTTGTCTCTTTCTGCCAGTTGCCCATATCAACTGTGTCTATCAGACAATGTTTTCCCAGATATTGTATATGCTGTCATAACCGTTGAAACTGTACCTTCCGACATGGCAAATAATTAGCAACTTCAGTCACAGAGGCACCAGCTAAGTGGGCACCAACAATTTGCCCTCCTTGAAGCTCAGTAAGCTCTGACAGGACTCCGTATTACTAGCAGCGCAAGCAGTGAATGACGAAAGTGAGGCTTCCCACCTATTAGCTAGGTGTCTCATCACACAGCAGAAGCAAAAGAGTGTTACATCACTTCTTTCAACATTGAAATATGCAGTCACTTTCACACTTGCAAATCATGCAGTGTTTCAATTTTAATGTCTAACACCTGGATATCATCAGTAACAACTTCAAATACAAACTTACATTACCTGCAAAACAAGTACATTTTAAAGAACAGTTTCACCTTTTGTTACTGCACCCGTATATAGAGTAACATGCTCCAGCAAATGTGATAGTTATCATTCACGGCATGCCTTGAATGTAATTGTTTTGGGAAACCGTTAAATCGTTGGGTTTAGTTCCATTTCAGCAATTTGCAGGTACCCAGCCTACTGCAAAAGTCTCTTTCGCAACATATAACCTACAGCTTACTTTTTTAATAGCCGTCATTTGTTCTTCCCTCCATTCAGGTTTGTTCTTCTTGGCATTAGAAAAAAATTCTCCAACTCGCTGTTCTAACTGGTCCATTGCATCTACATTATAAATATAATGAAAAGTTGATCAAGAAGTAGACAAATTCATATGGGTGCTAAGATGTAACTTTATCAGTGACAATCATTGAGCGTGCAAGGGTAGCCAGTAACAGGCCAAGCCTAACTTTGCAACCATGTTTCATGTTACACTCAAATTTAGGGTGCAATATCAAACACGGTCACACATTCCCCACACCTAAATCGCAAGGCTCCTCCCCTTGCAGCAATCTGTTGCCTTTTGAATTCAGCACAGCTGCATCATCCAGCCACTAGGATCTGTGAATGGGAGGCAAGTCCTCTCTGTCACGACAGATGGAGCACAAGTGTGGCACAGTTCTGGGACTGAGAAATGTGGCTCTTATACAGTGAATAAGTACTTATTTCCCACTTTTGGAAAAAAGATCTTCAGTCATTCAGATCTACTCTTGTTTGTCTACTTTGTCTACATCCCTAACAGCTGTACAATGTGAGGAACTAGCTAACATGAAAGATTTTGAATATATATGATTGGACCGTATCCAAACATTTGCTCTCAGTCACACCAAAATTGTACTGAACGTATTTAGATTGATTCTGTAAAATGTTTATTTTCTCTTCTTTCCTATCGTAAAGTGGTTGTAAAGGCTCAACATTTTTACCTTCATACATTCTATGCATGAAGGTAAAAAAAACCTTCTGTGTGCAGCAGTCCCCCAGCCTCCATACATACCAATCGTGATCCACCAATGAGCCTCGTCTCTGATGATTCTCCCTCCTCATTGGCAAAGACAGCAGTGGGAGCCACTGTCAATCACAGCCAGTGAGCCAATGAGGAAAGAGAGGGGGCGGGGCCTAGCCACAGCTCTGTGTGTGAATAAACATGCAGAGTAGTGGCTCGGGAGAGAGCCTACTTGGGTGTCCCCATAGCAAGTTGATTGCTCTGAGGGCACTCGGCAGGAGGGAGGGTCGAGGAGCACTGGCGGGGGACCCAGGAAGAGAAGGATTGGGGCTGCTTACTGCAAGTAAGTATAACATGTTTGTTATTAAAAAAAATTGCCTTTAATAAAACTTTCAGCTGACCATGAATGGGTAGAGTTTCAAACAAAAAATACTTAAGAAAAGAATGTTCCAGGAAAGTCCGTTTTTCTAATCATTAGTGGGCACGTTTCTCCATTTCTGACTGCAGTGGTGAGAAAATTTGAAGGAGCAGGATGGAAAATATTTCTAAAATGAATTTCTAACAGTGTATGTGTTTTTATTTTTTGTTCGGCAAAGTCCATTAATTCCAAAATTCCATTAATTCCAAAATCAAATGAAATCTTTCAAGCGACATTCAAATGTTCTGAGAATTTTTGCATGAATTTTCAGCATAAGACTTTTCATTCAAAATTCTATTTATCTATGGCCATCTATAGTTACACATTTCTTTACAGTCCAACACCAAGCAACTAAAAAAAATAATCCCTCCAGCTTTAGTCACATCACTCTTATCTATAATGAAGTATGTCCCACCTTGTGAAATCAGCTGGATTCTGATGAAATCTTTACTGCAAGGATGCCTGTCCTCTTCCCGTTTTTGAACTTCTGGTACTGCAATGGTTAACAGCTTGGGGTCTCCAAGCAGAACAGCAGTACAGATCATCCGACAGGGACATGCTCACCCTTTCCTCCATTGTGAAATCTGTCTCACCGATTATACTGCATGTAATATGATCTGTGAAAGGGGAAAAGGCAGCAGTGTGTCACCCCCAGACCATCTGTACTGCTGTTCTGTCTGAAAACCCAACACTGTTATACCTTGCAGTGCTGGAAGTTCAGAGACAAGAAGAGAAAAGGTATACCTGCATTGAAGATTTCTACAGTGAAGATCCAGCTACCTGCACAACATAGGGCATGGCCATTCGTATGAAAATGTTCATCAGTACATTCAATGACTTGATGAATATCTTAGTAAATGTACTTAAAGTTTGCTTTCAACAATCAATTTTGGACCGAATGCACTTTCCTGAACAAAAATAAAAATCATTAACATTGATTTAACCCCACTAACCATTAGAAAACAAATGTCCTTAAAATGAAACTTTTCAAACAAAATTGTACTAGTAAATGGTCAGATTACAGATGTAGGGAGTTTAACTAAATTCCATCTTTGAATTCTGACAAAAGCTCTAACCTCTCTTACTCTATCAAAGAAAAGCATTTTTATTTCAGTCTGTGCTGCTGTTGAAGCTTCCCTCGCTGCTAGTATAACATCAGCAGCGCAGCAAGTAAAGGAAAGGAAAGATTGTCAGATAGAGCCCTGGATAGCAGTAAATCTAACTGGGGTTCTAACCCTGCACAGGTAACAAAATCTAAGAAAAAAAAAAAAGTTTTGGCTTGACCTACACTATGACTAAGCTCTTGTGTGGAGTGAAACACATTGGGGCTTTCCTGGCACCTGACTGACCTTTTTGCATTGCATGGCTTTAATACATCAAAATGGACTTTTATGGTAAAAGGCTCTCCTGTTCTTCTTTTGGAATATTCAAAAAGTTATATGTACAGTGGCTCACAACTGTGGAGAGCCAACTCCTGCAACTGGGAGGTAAGAGACAAATTTGCTTTGAATCTAGGAGCCAGCTAAAAAAGTTCAGAGCCAGTTTTTTTTCTGTTTTCTATTAGCATAGTGTGGGTTGTCAGCACCCAGGTCAAGACAGCTTTTGGGTGACAAACAAGCTTCACTTTAGGTGGCACTGAAAATAATGGCACCCGAACCTACGCGTTAAGATTCTGCCGTGATCCCAAAATGCCCAGGTGCGAATGGAGCCGCCCTGGTTCACACATATGCCATTCTGGATGCATTTTCAAACTAACAGATTTGCATGACAGGCTAGCGATTATGTGTTCCTATAGAGGTGGTTCAATAGGAACCACATTGTGTTTTGAGAGCCGTTACGCAGAGGGCCTTTGTTTGTAGTGGTGTGTTCCAGACTTGCAAGTGATAGAACAGAATGGCATGCGAAAATAAATGTTCACATAGGATTGCTTTTGACAGACGTTTTTGCAATAAAGTCAATATGAAGCGTATTTGCATTGAAGTCAATGGGAGGGGTGTTTGCGTTTAAGTCAATGGGAGGCGTGTTTGCAATGGGAGGCGTGAAAAGTCAATGGGAGGCGTATTTGCATTGAAAGTCAATGGGAGGGGTGTTTGCAATCAATGGGAGGCGTGTTTGCATTGAAGTCAATGGGAGGCATTGAGGCGTGTTTGCATTGAAGTCAATGGATTGTGATTTTGCATTGAAGTCAGTGGGAGGCAGTGTGTGGACACAGGACAATTTCTAGTCGCCACTGCGTTCTGGCGCCTGGGATTTGTTAAGCCCTGGTTTATAGTATACTCTTTAATGTAGTTCAATATGTCTTAGTTTGTTTGGGCCAAGCTGGCCCAAACAAATTATTTCCATTACATAATTATGCAGCCACTGTATGAACTGTAATATACTGTAGCTACATACAGTATGCAGATAGTATTCTGCAGCACCAAGAGTGACTTTACATCTGCTGCTGGAACTAAACAGAGTTGGATTTCCACAAGGCATCATCTGATTGGCCGTGGTTGATTTCAAGGTGTCATCTGCCAGCCTCCCCACATCAGCCAATTAGAAGAAGCCTTTGGCTCATTGATTAAAAATACAAGACTTCTCCCGAATAGCAAAGAAGCACTCAGCCCAACTCTGTTTAGCTCCGGGGACAGGTGGGAAATTGCTCATACTGCTGTGGAACACAGCACCACATGCTGTATGCGGCTAATGCTACTACAGTATATTAAATGGCATATTTATGTAACTGAAATAATTAGCCATATTAAACCATATCAAATTTTTTTGTTAAGTTTTGGACAAAGTAGAGAAGCATTAGGACCTGTCAGGTTTTCTTGCTGTGCCCGTTACGGAGATCCACACTAGTTTACTATTATCATTGGCAATGGAAGTAAAAGAAAATCCCAAATTTTATTATGCCCCAAGAGAGGACTCCTCCATTTGGGACACTGATTCTGGTGACAAGAGATTTCTTGACTTGGCTATGGGACAGAAAGGAAAGGGAAATCTCCTCAATGGGACACAGATGGCAAAAAAATATCATGGGTAATAACCCTCTCTTGCTCTATCCAAAATTTAAAAACAAAGTTTAGCCTTTAGTTCTATTCAAACACTCCTTGACACCATATTACTTGTTCTTCTAGTGCATCTGGCAATCTATCAGCGAGTGTGCATGTATTTTACAAACACAAATGTGACCCATATGTTTGTGTGTTCAGATGGTTATGATCTTGAGACTTGTTTGCCCTGATGTATACAATATGGATTGTGCACCCCATGCAGCCCGCTTCAGCCCGCTGTTGCCTGAAAATGGGTCACAGGAGTGCAGAACGAACTGCACTCCTATGACCCACAGGAGAAGTACAGCCAAAAGAGCTTTGGCTGTATTTCTCCTTTAATGATCAGTAAAATACTTGCATATAGATGCATTTAAACGCTTATAAACGCGTACGTGTGCATAATTTATTTTTCCCCTTTGTTTAGACCTAATTTACGTTCTTACAAACATGTATGCATGCATTTGTATATATTTGGGGACATCTCCCCGAACCCTGGCCCCTCGCCACCTCACCCCTCCTCTAGGGACCCCCCTGCTCCCGCCAGCTGCCGTAACCCCCTCAACCTCATATCTGTGCCCCTTCTCCCCGCATCCATCCCCCTCTCTCGGTTGCACTCCTGAACGCCCGCTCGGTCTGCAACAAACTTACTGCCATCCATGACCTCTATCTCCCGCTCCCTTAACCTCCTAGCCATCACCGAAACCTGGGTACAGGCCACTGACTCCACCTCCCCTGCGGCACTCTCCTATGGAGGTCTCGTCTGGTCCCATTCACCAAGACTGAGCGGTCACAAAGGTGGTGGGGTCGGCCTGCTCCTATCACCGCTGAGCACCTTCCAGGTCCTCCCTAATCCTCCCTCCCTAACTTTCTCCTCCTTCGAGGCTCACTGCATCCGGCTCTTCTCACCCACCCCCCTAAGGATCGCAGTGATCTACAGGCCTCCCGGATCCATACCCCGCTTCCTGGATGACTTCGCTGCCTGGCTTCCCTTCTTCCTCTCCTCTGAGCTACCAACCATCATCCTCGGGGACTTCAATATCCCCATCAATGACAACAGCCCGGCTACTTCCCAATTCCTCCACCTAACCTCCTCCTTCGCGCTCACACAGCACACTCAATCCTCCACCCACATCATTGGGAACACCCTGGACCTCGTCTTCTCCCACCTCTGTACCCTCAACCAGTTCTCTAACACCCCCTTCCCCTCTCCGACCACCACCTCCTCACGTTCTCCATCTCCCCTTCCCCTAACTCCCCCCCCCCCAGAGCGCCAAACCATCACCAGCCGCAACCTTCGCAACCTGAACCCGGCCCCCCTCCACTCAGCTGCCGACCGCCTACACGACAGCATCCTTCCACTGTCTTGTCCTGACCTAGCCACCCACCGCGTACAACGACTCACTATCAGCTACCTAGACTCTCTGGCACCCCTAACCACACGCAACATCAAACCCAGACCGCTCCAACCATGGCAGAACGACCACACTAAATGCCTCAAACGTCGCAGTCGTGCGCTGGAGAGACTATGGCGCAAAACCAGGTCCCCCCGTTCATTCTCCCTCTACAAAATCTGCCTTCCTCACTTACACCTCCTCCCTCCACGCCGCCAAGCAGGCCTACTTCGTAAACCTGATTAACACCCTCTCCTCCTGCCCTCGCCGACTCTTCTCCACCTTCAACTCCCTGCTCTCTCCCCCCCCCCCTCCTCCACTCAGTACCTCACTCACCGCCCACGAGATTGCCACTCATTTCCACAATAAAATTGATGCAATCCGTCAGGACATAGTCAACTCGCAATCTACCTCCCCACCTAGCCTCCCCCCCCCTATCTCCCCCTCATCTCTTCCCTCCTCTGACCTCGCAACCGCACTGCCCCCCTCCACACCCAAGACCCCGCTTACCGTAACCCCACCAGCTCTGCACTCCTTCAGCCCCGCTACCACTGAGGAAGTCACCAGGGTCTTCTCTGAAGCCCGCCTCACTACCTGCCCCCTAGACCCTATCCCCTCTCGACTCCTCCAGTCACCCCCCTCTTCCCCCTCATCTGCTCCCTCACCCACATCTTCAATCTCTCCCTCTCTACCGGCGTATTCCCCTCCCCCTAAAGCATGCGCACATCACCCCCATACTCAAAAAGCCCTCCCTGGACCCCTCTGACCCAAACAACCTCAGACCCATCTCCCTGCTGCCACTCACTTCCAAACTCCTGGAGCGCTTAGTCTACAACCGCCTAAGCGCCCACCTAACTGACAACAACCTCCTTGATCCACTACAGTCCGGCTTCCGTCCCCTACACTCCACCGAAACTGCCCTCCTCAAAATCACCAACTACCTACTAACCGCCAAAGCCAAAGGCGACTACTCTGTCCTCCTCCTCCTGGACCTCTCCGCGGCCTTCGACACAGTTGACCACCCCCTCCTCCTTAATAAACTATTCTCCCTTGGCATCAGAGACACCGCTCTCCTGGTTCTCCTCTTACCTATCCCGACGCTCCTTCAGCGTTTCCTACAATGGTGCCACCTCCCCTTCCCTCCCCCTCTCTGTTGGGGTCCCCCAGGGCTCTGTCCTTGGACCCCTTCTCTTCTCCATCTACACCTCCTCCCTTGGCAAACTCATACACTCCCCGGCTTCAACTACCATCTCTATGCTGATGACACTCAAATTTACCTCTCCACCCCTCACCTCACCTCCACTTTCTCCGCCCGCATCACTCACCTCCTAAACGACATCTCTGACTGGATGTCGCTCCATTTCCTCAAACTCAACCTCTCCAAAATCGAGCTTCTCGTCTTCCCTCCTGCCCGCGCCCCCCCCCCCCATCCTATCCATCACTACTAACATCACCACCATCAATCCCGCCCCGCAAGCCAAAGTCCTTGGGGTCATTCTGGACTCTAACCTCTCCTTCCAACCTCATGTCAAATCACTGACAAACACATGCAGGCTCCACCTCCGCAATATCGCCAAAATACGCACCTTCCTTACCCCAGACACCGCTAAACTACTTGTGCACTCCCTGATTATCTCACGCCTTGACTACTGCAACTCCCTCCTCACCGGCCTACCCCAGTGCAAACTCTCCCCGCTTCAGACCATCCTGAACTCAGCTGCCAGACTCTCATCCACCTCACCAGCCGCTCCACCTCTGCCACCCCCCTCTGCCTCTCCCTCCACTGGCTCCCTATCGCCCAACGCATCAAATTCAAACTACTCACTCTGACCTACAAAGCCATTCACAACACTGCCCCTAACTACCTCACCGACCTGATTCCCAAGTACCACCCTACCCGTACCCTTCGCTCTTCACAGGACCTCCTTCTATCTTGCTCCCTGGTCTCCTCCTCACACGCACGTCTGCAAGACTTCTCCAGGTCCTCCCCCATCCTCTGGAACTCACTACCCCAATCTATCAGACTGTCACCTTCCCTTCTCACCTTCAGGCGCTCCCTGAAAACCCACCTCTTCAGGGAAGCCTACCCCACCCTCACCTAACTGCTGCTCTCCTTCATTCCTCCTACCACTCCATCCCCCACAGCCACTTCCTCCTGTACCACTACCCCCTCCCTCCCAGATTGTAAGCTCGAAAGAGTAGGGCCCTCTTACCCCTCGTGTGCTGTTCGTAGCTGCTGTAATGTTTCATGTATTGTCCCCCCCTCTATTGTACAGCGCTGAGCAAACCCTTTGGCGCTATATAAACTCAATGTAATGTAATGTAATGTAATTTGTATGCGTCAATTGCGTGTTCTTGGATGCAGATTTTTGGATTCTGTGCTAGGGATCTGAATGCAGTGCATGTTTACACACCTGAGTAAATGGCTTCATTGAAAACAATGTAGCTGTGATCAGATCCGTACTTAAAAAAACGTTGTATAAGAATTCTTTATGGCCATGTGAATGAAGCCTTAGGCTACTCTCACGCTGATCAGTGGAAAAACTGCATATGCGTTTCTGCCATATTTGTAAAAGAACATGTGACTGAAAAAACACACCAAAAATGCACCGCAGGTGTATTTTTTTTAATGGCTGTGTGAATGAAACCTTAGGCTACTTTCACACCAATCTGTGGAAAAAGTGCATATGCATTTTTAAAAGGATATGTGGCTCAAAACATGCACCAAAAATGCAACGCAGATGCATTTTTACCACATTTGCCATTGATTCGAATGGAAGGTACGTTTTTGATGCAGCTTTTTTAAACTACACCAAAATGCAGCAAGCAGGGTTTTGAAACACACACTGGACCCACAATGGTTCAGTGTGAAGAGTTCCAGAGGAATAAATGGTCACCTTTTTCTTCTGCTTTTTGTTTTAACGTAAAAGGTGGGTGAAAAATGGATCAGTGTGAAGGCAGCCTTATGCAGGCCATAGATGGGTCGAAAATTGGGCAATTTTTCAGCCGAAAAAAAAAAAAAAAAAAAAAAAAAAAAAAAAAAAAATCGGCCGATTTTCGCACCGTTAATGGGTTAATTAGTTGGCCGTTTTTCTGGATTTTGTCAGATTTTTTTGATAGGTAAAGTTGGAGAAAAAAAATCGGCCGATTTTCACAGCAATGATGGGCAAATCGGCCGATCTTTTTACCGATAAAAAATCTGCGCATGAGCTGTGACCTGCAAGCAAAAAAAAGAGAAAGAAGAAGAGAAGTAGAGAAAGAAGAAGAAGAGGAAGCAGGGAAAGAAGAAGAGGAAGAAGGGAAAGAAGAAGAGGAAGAAGGGAAAGAAGAAGAGGAAGAGAAAGAAGAAGAGGAAGAGAAAGAAGAAGAGGAAGAGAAAGAAGAAGAGGAAGAGAAAGAGGAAGAGAAAGAGGAAGAGAAAGAAGAAGAGGAAGAGAAAGAAGAAGAGGAAGAGAAAGAAGAAGAGGGGAGAGAAAGAAGAAGAGGGGAGAGAAAGAAGAAGAGGGGAGAGAAAGAAGAAGAGGGGAGAAAAGAAGAAGAGGGGAGAGAAAGAAGAAGAGGAGAGAGAAAGAAGAAGAGGAGAGAGAAAGAAGAAGAGGAGAGAGAAAGAAGAGGAAGAGAAAGAGAAAGAAGAAGAGGAGAGAGAAAGAAGAAGAGGAGAGAGAAAGAAGAGGAAGAGAAAGAGAAAGAAGAAGAGAGAGAAAGAAGAGAAAGAGAAAGAAGAAGAGACAGAAGAAGAGAAAGAGAAAGAAGAAGAGAAAGAAGCAGAAAAAGAATAAGAATTCCAGTCCGCTATTATATTTGACATTAAAAAGTATTGCGGTTGCAACAATGTATCTATTTGTATCTGAAAAAACCATCTGTATCCAAATACAAATAGATACAATGTTGCAATCGCAATACTTTTTAATGTCAAATATAATAGCGGGGCTCTCTGCAGGGACAAAAGTAATTAAATGCCGGCCGTAGATGGGAAGAAAATCGGCTGGTTTTTTTTACTGTTGATGGTAACGTCGGCCTATTGAACAATCGATTTTTCGTTTGTTAAAAAAACCGTCCGGTTTTCTCCCCGTCTATGGCCAGCATAACTCTGATTGCAGTGGCCAGATGATTATGAGCCCTAATAGAAGGATATGTGCATGTCAGATGGGTTCACATAAGGTTGCTGCTTGTACTGGATGTTATGCAGGGTTGTACTGATGTCAATGAATAGGGCACGCCGCTGCCCCCTGCTGTTGACGCCTAGTATTGCACCAGCCCAGCAGGAAGCCGGTAACCCCAGGCAGCGGCTCTCCCGTCGTCTTAGTCACACAATGATATAGAGCACTAGAGCGCCGGCCCTCCGCTACCACCGGCTGTCCGTGCTTAGCAGGCGGCCTTGACGAGCTGAGCTGCTCACGTACTCTGCACCTGCAGGTCCATCTCCCGCATTTCCGTAAACCTGTCGCGCAGATCCATGGGAAGCTGCTCGATCACTGCGGAGAGACAGGAGGGGAGGGAGAGACACAGAGGGCGGTTATTAGGCGGCGCCACTCCCGTCCACGTACAAAGAGCCCGCATCCCACCGCACTCAGAGCTCCCCGCGCCGCCATGGCGCCCTACTCCCCCACTCACTCTCCAGGTAATCCTCCAGGTACAGCATCTTGTCCTCTTAGGGCGCCTTCAACACAACAGCGGCGGTTTATTTCTCCGAGACAAGATGGCGCCTGGTCTGCAACACTAAAACACGGGGCGGGAGGAGAGGGCCGATGGGGGCACCTCTGATTGGCTGCATGGGGTGATGACTGAGGGACCGCACAGGCTTCTGGGAGATGTATTTCGGAGGGCGGGAGAGAGAGCGCGCGGAGTTTTCTCTGTCAGGGAGTACCACATCGTATAGTTCGTGGAGTGTGAGGAGAAATCAGAGCTAGGATGCCGCACAGGCCTCCATATTTAGTCATTATTATTCTGCAGGCTTAAGCAGGCCATAGACGGGTTGAAAACCGGCCTTTTTTTTTTTTTTTTTTTTAAAACAAAAAAAATCGGTCATTCAATGGGCTGACGTTACCACCATTGGTAAAAAGAAAAATCGGCTGATTTTTGTCCCGTCTACGGCCGGCAAATATAATAGCGGTCTCCCTGCAGAGAGCTCCGCTGTTATAGTTGACATTTAAAGTATAGCAAAGTTGCAACATTGTATCTATTTGTATCCATTTCAGATTCAGATGTTTCTATTCAGATACAAATAGATACAATGTTGCAACCTTTATACTTTTAAATGTCAAATATAATAGCGGAGCTCTCTGCAGGGACACACCGCTACTATTCTTGCCATTTAAAAGTATTGAGGTTGCAACATTGTGTCCATTTATATCCGAATAGAAACATCTGAATCCGAAATGGACACAAATAGATACGAATGTTCTTTTTCTTTGTCTTCTTTTCCTTCTTCTTGCAGGTCACGGCTCGTGCGCATTTTTTTTAAATCTGTAAAAAGATCAGCCGATTTGCGCATCATTGCCGTGAAAATCGGCCGATCGTCAAAATCGGCCGTTTTTTTTTTTTTTTTCCCACCGTAACCGCTTTAAAAAAAATGTGTCAAAATCACGAAAAACAGCCAACAAATTCACCCACTAACGATCCAAAAATCGGCCGATTACTTTTCTGCGATCAAACAAAATTTCAGCCAGTATATGTGATTATCGTTCAGAAATTACATTAATTTTAAACTTGAATGTTAGAAGCAAAAGACAATTTTCAAATGACATTCGTCCATTCACCGAATGTTCAAAGAATTCTTGTACGCATATTCCCGTCTGAAAATCTACGTGTGTATGGCCAGCTTAATGCTGTGGTGTGAACAGGGCACATAGTAAACAATTAATTTTGCTGTGCCCTTTCAGAATGCAGGCAGGAAAACTGATGTTATGCACGATGGTGTGAATGAGCCCTTAAAGCAGTGGTCTCCAAACTGCAGTCCTGGGGCGGGTGTGGCCCTTTGCTTGCCTATATCTGGCCCTTGAGGCATTTTTCCTCACACTGATCTTAACAATGAGGCATAATTCCTGCTTGATATCAACCATGGAGCACTGTCATTCCTATTGACAGGCACTTTTTCTTCTACTGACACTAATGGAGACACTATTCCTCCAACTCACATCAATGATGGTGAACAAAAGATGGAAAATTGTTCACTCCCACTGGGCACAGTCTGGCCCCCCTAAAGTTTGAAGGATGGTAAACTGGCCCTTTGTTTAGACAGTTTGGAGACCTCTGCCTTGAAGTGTTACTAAGTCCACAACAGTAGAATCAGTCTGTATATGCAGTAAAGCAACCTTTTTCAACCAGGGTGCCTTCAGGTAATTGGCTATGTGGAAGAGGGGATTCCCCCTCGAAATGCGTCAGCATGTTCTGAATGTCCATCTGTGTATGGGACTTGCACAGTACTCTGGACCATTGAGGGTCATGAAATGCTTGTTTTTACTTGGCGTTTATGAGAATACATCTGTTGCTTCCAAATAAAAGTTTTGTGTGTATGAATAATGTGCAAGGCTTGTGCACCCTTTTTTCTTATCTTACAGTGCCTCCAGGGATGCCTTGGCAAAATGCCTAAGGCTAGGTACACACGAGCCCACACACTGCGGGCATCGATGTAATTCCTGCTGCTTCAACCACAAACCATTTCTCTTGCGAGATGCTGGGGGGTGCCATTCAAAATGAATAGCACTCCCACTCATCTCATCCTGCAGCATGATATCAGCACAGAAACTGCATGGTCAAAAAGACCATGAGGTTTCCATGGAGATGCGTTTTGGAAAAGGTGCATGCATTTTTTTCTTGTAAAACGAAAGCCTTACGCCCTGCATTAGTGTGAAGCTGGCCTAAAAGTGCCCAACAATTGCATAAAAGCCAGCAGGTGGATCAACCCTGCCTTTTAGTTGCACAAAGCCACAGGTTTGGTATTCACCATTACAACTTAGCTGCTGGCATCCTAACAACCAATGACATCATTGGTTGATAGGGAGAACATTGGACACCTGCACAGCATCTTTGTTTTCTCCTTTGTCAGCACTGATGCCAGATTAGCTGAGTGAGGGAGAATACTAGTCAGTACCAGTGTGCAAAGGTGTATTTGCTTTGGAAGAATAAATCACCTCTAGTATTGGGTGTCCTACATATGTGGATGTTATGTTATGTTAAACTATTAGATTTGTTCTTTACATTTTAAAATGGGGTGCTTCAAGATGTGCAGAACTTCAAAAGGTGAATGCAAGGGTCATGGGTTTAGTAACACTTTGACCCTCTTAAGTTTTTTGCCAAGTGCTACATCCATGTGCATGTGTGGTGCTTCCCCATTAGCTTGAAATGTTGGGTTTGCATGTTCTTTAACCAGTCTGGCTCTAGAGCAAATTTTTGTTAAATTTTTGCACACAGTTAAAACTTCATTTTGCATCATAAAATTACTTACCCCCCCCCCCCCCCCCCCAGAACATTATATATTTTGTGGAAGCAGAGACTGTATGTTGCACAATATTTGCGTGACTGTTTATCAGACACATTTTCAGTAAATATCGAATAAAATGAATATTGGTGCAAACAAATACGCTATATACAATACATGAAAATTGAATATGGGGTTGCGTTAACTAAATGGGTACCAAACATGCTAAGTCTTAAAATTGCATGTGTGCAGTATATCGCAAAAAAATACGGTAACCCAAAAACTCCATGAATGACATGTTGAAAGCCTTTACAACTAATCAGTTTAGAGTTAACCATGGGCTCTTGTGCTAGAATTATCACTCTCACTCTGACCTCTGCAATCCCTAACGTGTTGTTTGACCACGGTTTAAATACACTTGCACACCCTGGATGTACGTTTGTGGATGTGTACAGGGCAGTAGGGTTATAGTTATTTTTTTTTTGTGTACATTTTATTATAATTTCATTTTCTTTTAACTTTTTTTTTCATGAGAAATAATTGCAATCCCTGATCCTTATGCACAGGGTCAGGGGGTTACCTAGGCGAAAGGTAAACACAGACTGGTCTGTTCAGTGTAGCGCATGTGCAGCCCCAGACATCTCATTCAAAATAAACTGCAGGCTCTACTCCTGGAGGTGCCCTTCTGTCAATTACTTTGTTTCAACATTGCAACCATACTTTCCCCAGAACCCAAAGACTTTTTTCCCCGGAAGCTGCTTGGTGGGTCATAGGAATAACGCTGCCAGATCACTAATCGGCATCTTTTAGCCCTGGTTCACACTAGCCGAAACCCTGCAGGCTGGATGCAGGTGTAGGAACAGCTGCATCATGTTTCTCTTGCAAGAGGTGCAGGGGTGCCATTTATTCTGAACAGCACCCCCGCGTATCTCATCCTGTAGTGCAGGTGTGGGAACCACTTGGAAAACGCATGGAAAATAAGAGCATGTGGTTTCCCTGCGGATGCATTTGGAAAAGGTGCACATACCTTTTCCTTGCATGAAACTCAGGCACAGCAGCCCCTTGCCTGCACACGGCTAGCACTAGTGTGAACCGGGCCTTATGGCCAGAACGTCTGGGATGTGCATGGCTGTGGGGGTGTCCGTGTGGCCCCCTGAAAACAGCTGGTAAAGTGCATGGGTGCATCCAGGCAGCCCCATGGAGGCTAAAGTCATTAGGGGGGTGCAAATTGTTTTTTTAAAACGAATGATGCGGTATTTCCTTTGAAGGGAAACTTGTTTGGATCTAGTCTTAAGTCTATCTTACTAAGATCTTTGCAGAAAAAGCCATTTATAAACCTGAAGGAAAGCCTGATGGTAAATCTGCTAAGGTCCACAAGGCTGAAGGCAAAAGGGACATGCTCTTTGCTTCAACCCCTTTTAATGACAACTATGCCAAGATGGGGGTAGGGGGAATAATTTTCTTAGCTCTAGCTGTTGCTGGTAAAATAACGGAGAGCCTCTACATCTGCCAGAATATCAGGGAGGGTTACAAGTCAGAATTCTCCCACCTTCCTCCTAGTAGGTTTTATGTCACCAGCTTGCCGAGAGAGCCAGTGAGGATGGTAGGAATGTTGGAGTTGGTGTCTCAAAGGGTGAGGGAAGAAATCATTGTTTAGATCCCAGCATAAGAGATTTCAGGGTTTTTATTCCCCTATGTTTATTGTCCAGAGATTTTCAGGGATATTTTGAATGATCATCGATTTTAAACTCTGGAAGACATTTCTAGTCTACAAGAGATTTCATATGGAGAATATTTACTCTGTGAGAAATCTGATCATGCGGGAAGCCTTTTTGGTGTCACTGGACCTCCAAGATTCATATTTCCTTGTCCCTATCCACTAGTCGTGTCAAAAGTTCCTCAGGTTTGCCATTCAAACAGAACAAGGACTTCAACACTCTCAGTTCAAGGCCCTGCCTTCTGGTCTTTCAGCAGCCCCCAGAGTTTTTACCAAGATCGTGGCTCAGGTTATGGCTTTTTTCCGTGTAAGGGAAATTTAAGCAATTCCTTACTTGGACAATTTCTTAATTTTTGTTTTTTCACAGAGCAGTCAGGATCTTTCCCAGGGCCTGCAGTTGGTCCTTCAGACCTTTGCTGGGATGATGAATAAATCAAGAAAGTCTGTCTCTGGCCCAGGAGATGGTGTTTCCTGGGGTACAATAAGATATACCTGTTCTCAAATC